AATATATAATTCTCTATTGATATGCTAAAAAGACATTTGGGATTGGAGTTTTAAAGGCAGATATCCACCAGGGAGTTGTGGGCTAGCAGAGGGTAGCTGCATAATCAGCTCTACCATCAGCCAACTGATATTCTGCATAATAGAGAGGGGATTTCTGGGTCAGTGTGTGTCTGTGTGTGTTGTGTATGTGTGTGGCTGTAGCAATGTTGGTGGGGGTCTATCCTTTTATCCACACGGATGTGTGCATGTCTGCATGTGTCCTATCCGCATGTGTATGTATGTGTTCCCTCCACGGCTTGGTGTTTACGTGTGCATGTGTGTATCTGGGGCTCTGACCCTTTACCCCACCGGGAACAGATTTCATTAGGGAACAGAGAGTGAGGTACACGCAGACAGACAGACAGAGAGCCAGAGAAATAGGAAGAAAAAAATCAGGGGACCAAATGAATGAAAGATGGGCAGGAGGCAAGTAAGGGTAGCTTTAGAATGTATTAATAGGTCAAAGGTCACTTCATTTTCACAACAAGGAAAAAGAGCCAATGCAAAAGAAGCCATGACCTTTTGTAATTCACACACACATATGCACGTTTGTATGAAGCTTTTTCCAGTTAGACACTTGACCCAATGCTAGGTTTAGCCTAGCGTTAAAAATATCTGCCCATCTGTCCCCCACACGAAAGAGAAGACCCCACAATGTGTCTGTGTAAACAGTTTTATGGCCCCACGACATGATTAATACCTGGTCCACTTTTTCTCAAACAACCCAGCTGAACAATCTAGACTTAAGTGTGGTTTAATTAAGTTGCCGTGCGAGTGTTTGAGGTGTAGGAAATGGGTGAACAAGGCATGCAGGGTCACTTGATAGAAGGTTAGAAGATTGCGTGTGTATAGCAGAAAATGAGACTGTCAGGTTCCATGTGTGTACAAATGCACCCGTGGTGCTCTCTGTATTTGTGTGCTTCAGTGCTTCTGTGTGGAAGGTGTGGGTGTATACACATAGGTTTACTGAAAAATCAGAGTCTTGAGCCGACCAGTGTTGCAAAAGGCAGGTTAAAACTTTTTAAGTTTAAAAAAAGAAAAAATAAAGATGAGGAGAAGAGGAAGAAAGGAAGAAAAAAAGTTGTGTAGCAATAAGCATTAGAAAAACTAAAGGAACAAATGTGATTATTGCTCATAGTCAGTTATAAGTTATTAAAGGAAAATTAAGTCATATTCAAAGAAAGCAGGGTGAAACAGAGAAGAAGTTGATTGATGAAAAATGCCAGGATAATCTTAGAGGAAAAAAATGGCATCGAGGTACAAAGCAACCACAACAGAAGCCCAAAACCTTAACAAAGCCCACCACCGTATGATCACACCACACCACACCACCGTATGAGTGTTGTGGTTTATCTGACAGGACGTTCCCATATTTATTACAGTCATAAACTAAACTGCCCGTGTGGTCAAATTACAGTATCTTGGCTCACACATGTGTAAAAGATCAGGTTCTTTAGTCATTTGTAGGACAGGTTTTACTGATGCTTTTTGTAAAAAGTTTGCTTTTTTACTGCCCAAGTTCTTGTCATGTTCTTTTTTCCACGACTGAATTTCGATTGCTGGCTCTTGAGTCGCGCCTTCCTATTTGATTTGTAACATGCAGGACTCATGACATTAGATAACTTCAAATGTTATTCACGGATGTGTATTGCCTTGAAGAAAGTGAAGGATGAATGGTTTAAGGATGAGAGAAAGATCGATGGATATAGAGAGAAGAAAATCCGGAGAAACAGCCAAAGGGAAGCAGAGCGTTGAGAAACAGACTGAGAAACAGACAGACAGCTAGGACAGAGATTGAGTGAGAGTCAGAGACAGAAAAAAAAGACAGGGAGAGAATTAAAGGAACCACAACAGAAGCCAAAAGCCCACTAAGTCTCCTACTCCTTATGGTGGCGGGGTGTGGTGTTGGGGATCTGGCACAACTTCCTACAGTACAGCCCCTTTCTAAACATCTCATATATACACCCAGTCAGACACAAAGTCACGGCTAACCACATCACAATTTGGTGCATATGTGTGTGTGTGTGTTTGTGCATGTGGGAGTGTGTGCAACCACTCAGCTCAGCTGCTCCCAGGCTCACAGAAAGCATTGGCTGCTTGAGCGTGTCAGAACGGTCTCTTGATCTCATCTGTCTTTTTATTGCCTAATCCCTATCTGTATTTTCTTCCATTCTCCCCTCTTATATACCCCTCTTATTGCCCTTCATCTTCTCCCTTCTACCCAACAATCCCTATCAATACAACTTTAGTTTCTCTGGAAGCATTTTTCAGTTCATACCAGTAAAAGTGTTTCTTAAGTAGTGTACCGGTAATTCAGTAAGTTTGACATCTGTCTAACACACTGAGCCTTTCTAAGCATTCCTGTTTTTATGGATGAGATTCAGATCGTAGCCGGCCCTCCATATGCGTCTTTCACGCACAATCTCAATGGGTCGATAGTCCGATGAGGTTTTTGGCTATGAATGTTTCATCCTGGTTTACATAACAGTAGCTGAGCTCTTTGGTAGCACATTGTGAATGTGTGATTACAAAGTGCTGTTTGTTCTACTCAACCTCTTCTTACTCTCTGTCTGACTGCGCTTTAAATTTCCCTCTTCTTTGTTTCTTATTTCAGATAAATACTTTTCATTTGCAACTTACCTCATTACATAACATTCAGTTTGTGTTGTTAACTTTTGCAGACAGGAGTACATAAAGAAAAACAACAGTGTAACTGTAACTAAAGGTCCTCATTTGTACAGTTTTGTTACTTTGGGATACCTTTAATTTTTAAATATTTTTTTATATGTAGCTGCTTTAACATTGATGTAATGTAGAAATAATTTTGAATAAATTATGATTTTAAACTAGAAATGATGCTTGAAATGAACAAAGCAAAGGGAAACAATGTAAAGAAAATCTATGGTCATGTTTGTATGTCTATGAGACTATACATCATCACAGACGTTCTAAATGCTAGCATGTTAACAACAATTGGATAGAGAAAAAATCCCTAATTTTATGTGCCAGTTTAAAAGAAATCAATAAAAATCTGTTCAAATCCTGATGGGGACATGACATTTGTGTACCAAACTACATGGCAGTCCATCCAATATATGTCAGGACATTTCTCTTATCAACCTCAGCAATCCCGTTGAAGCACTCCAGACTGGGCATGTTGTCGTGCACTAGCTAAAATGTGTTATTAACTGTTCCTTGATTAATGCACTTATATGTGGAAAGAAATCTGTCTGGAGGCCATCTTTGAAAGGCAGAGTACAAAAGTAAAACCTTTCCCCACAAGGCAATTTTCTTAGCAGACAGTAGACCAACACAACACAATACATAATTATAGTACATCGTACAAAACACAATACAAGGTCCAAATATCCTACACTGTTAGAAAAACAAACAAAAAGAAGAACAGATGGAACAAAGGACAACCTGTATCTATTAGTATTATCTTCGTACAACTTAAACTTTAGCCCTAATAGAAGCGTCTGGAACTCGATGTAAAGGATGCTGACAATCCCAAATAGTGGTTGTAGCTTGAAGAAAGGTAGCTGTAAGTCAGCTGTCAGTGGAAACTAAAACTTACCTCTACAAAGATTATAAGAGTCTAAAAAAAACAAATTTTATTGTTGTTAGAAAATTTGTAATATTGTGGCACAAGCAGAACTTTCAGGCTGCGCCTTTTTGCTTCAGAAGGTCAGTATAAGTCTCAGCAGACGAGTGTCTGTGCTTTTGATTATTAAAGTAGGAATGAATGTCATCGCCCTTGCAGACAGACAAAAAGCTGTCTTGTGTCAGTTTTTCCAATATTTTCACATTTAATCAGCATCAGCATCTTGATTATCTTACTAATGTGCAAACCTTCAGATGCATTGCCTCAAACAGTCCGTGCTATTATTGAAATAAATGACACCAGAATCTTTTGATTCTACGAGCTCAATTTATGTACATGAAAACACAGCCTGCATTTCATTCAGTTGTCGCATGCAGTGCGCCTATAATTAGAGTGATTTACTGAGGCAACAGATAATTATATAATCATAGGCTGTGAATGTGTTGTATACTCATTTAGGGAGTGAAGCTGGAATCGATGTTTCTACACATAACCGAGGTTGCTTTAGTTCAAGAGGAAGCAGTATAATAAAATATTGCCTAAAGCCTGAAAAGTTGATACTTGTTTAGTAACATCCAATAACTTCTGTGTCTCAATTAGATTCCTATCAGTTATCCTAATATGCTCTTTACTGAGTGATGGAAACGTAATTAGAATCTTTCATTTGTTGCATAAACATCACAGATAAGGCAGTGTGTCTGCTTCAATTGGAAATACAGTATATTACAATCCAATGAGTACGCCATCACCTGTGGTCCAACATCAGCTCCAAAAGCTGCTATTGCTATAAATTTTAAGCTTTGGAGCTAAAAGGAAGTATAGACGCCACCATGTATGAGTCAGGTCCTCTAACCACCCATAAATGTGAAAATAGTTAATGTGTTTCCATGCTGGTTCAAATGTCTATTTCTGCATCATTTGTGGTCCCAACCTCAGTTCCTTCTTCTCTAAACCAATAAGATGTATGAGTCAGGTTCCTTTAGCCATTTATAAGCATGGCATTGAGCAGACAGCCACCCATAAATGTCGTTGCCTGTGTCTCCAACTATTGCCAAAAGTCTTATTGCAGGGACTCTAAATGTCTTCTTAACCTGTTGATGAATATGTTTTTTCACTTTTCAAGATTTCAGGATGTGTTTCGTAGAAATAATATATGTCTTTTTTCGCAGGCAACTCTTCTTTCCTCTCTCCTTCATAAAAGTCGACATTTTACTCTATCTCCTTATTTTTCATTCTGTCAGTGTTTCTGACTTAATCTCTTTCTTAGTGTTTGGTGACTGTGTATGAATCAGGCCTTCTGGTGCATTTAGTTACATTTTCCTCCTTTTTTCTCTTGCTCACTGTCATTCTTTGTCAGGTCCTCTTGGCCATAGACTGAAATGCTGACAGACGATGCCCATGAATGATGAATGATGACTGGAGGTCTGTCTGGTGCCAGCAGAATGCATAATACAGCATCGATACAGCAATCGCAGTCCTCCTCAGCAGAAACATGGTGCAGTTTCTGTATCACATTATTGGAAGATTTGCCCCAAGCAGGACAGCAGGACCACTCAAAGTGGAAATCAACCGCAATGTTGAATGTTGTTTCGGTTGGAGTCCTAAACGAAGCAGCATTACAAAGAGTTTTCTGGTGAGCGCTGAAATGATCATGTCAGGATAAAAACAATAACCCGAATAGATTTTTTGTTAATCTTGTTATGCACATATATATTTGTTCTTGTCTTTGTTTGGATATGTTTCAAACTTTTAATGTGGATGTGAGTTCATAGCTTTTTTTGCATACAGTCAGTGTGTATGTGTGTGTGTTTACGGTGGGTGAATGGAAGCACATATACATTGACTTGAGGCATGTTTACACTTCTGCATTTATGTGCTACTGATTAGGTGTGAGAAGTTGCACCCAGCGTGTATGGGGAGTGAACTATATGTGTCTGCATGCAGACCCCTATAGTCTAGGGATGTATGGCAGTGTTGAAGCATGTTGTGGATATATTACTGTGTGTGTGTGTGTGTGTGTGTGTCTGTGTATTCCTAGTATGTAGGTCATCGGTGTATTCCTGATGAAATGTAGTCCTCTGGAGAACCCTACAGATATGAGGGCCTAAATTAGACACTATTATCTGTGTGTGTGTGTATGAGAGAGAGAGCTATACACATTTGCCGGACCAGAGCTTCACAGACATGTGTTTTCAATTTTGTGCATGCTTTTACATGTAAGAGCAGCATCACGAGTGTGTGTTTGTCCATCTGTGTGCGTAGGTGTTAAATTGCATGTAATTTCAAACATTATGTATTTATGTATGTGAATGAAAATGACACAGTGGTATCATCTGACAGACTCGTTGCCTATTATCACTGACCTGGGACTGTAAACCTCGGCCCTTGATTTTAACGACTGTTGGCACAGAAAGCCTGTCCATATTGTCACATTACCAAGCCAAACTGCTAATAAGCCTCAAGCACCACTCCAAGAAGAGTATGTGACCAAATGTAGGAAACACACACTCTGCTGCATAACATACACAAGAGGTGCATTTGCAGGAGTGATGAAGTTAGTTTTAAGGGTGACTGACTTTTATAACATGTAAAAAAAGTGTTTGATGTCTTTTTGTACGTCTTTAACACTGAAATTTCAGTTTTGGAAATCCATTCAAAGCTATTACTCTTACATTTTGGTGTTTTGTATAGCTGCTGTTGGAGAAACAGGGCAATGATGATTAGGTTTCTTTAAAGTATACAGGACATACATATTTTGTGTCACTTTCTAGATACAAAATGTGTCTTTCTGAATACCCTGTGATCTTAGTGCTGTTGAAACATTACATATAATCCCCTTTCATTTCGAGATGTCTACATTTCCAGGCAGCCGACTGTCAGTAAGTCACAGGGACAATATGCAGTCAATCTGTCAAACCAATTCAGAATTTTGCCAGAGCTCAGCCCAAAAGTTATATTCAACCTGAGAGAGATGAATGGGAGTGAGAATGTCTACCTTTGAAAAGCTTCATGCTTTGACCAAATCATATGCTGTCACTCCTAAGCTTTAGAAGGCCTGCACTTTTCATCAAAGCCGTTGATGGCTACCTTTCACAGTACTGTCGAATACACCCTCAAAAGCTTCCCTCCCTCCTTTCCTTCCATCCCCTCCCAAATCTCTTTCTTCTTCCCTCCGATGTCTACTACCCCCCTGCCCCTCCACCCAATCCTTCCATTCCCCTTGTCCTTAATCCCTCCCCTCCCTCCTCTCCTCAATCAAACCCTCAAATCCCTCCAGGTTTTTTTCCCCCCTGTGTGTATGTGTGACTTCAGTACTGTCAAGATAGATGAAACAAGAAAAATTCAGATTCATCACAGTCATAACCTGCCATGATGATAATCCACTGCTATTCTTCCCTTGTGGTATTAGGCCGATGTCACTGGCCTTTTTGGGGTTTATTTGCATATTTGTTTCCCCTTTGTTTCTTTTGATGAATTATTTACTGTGGAGTAAAAATGACAGCAGAGATCAGTGATGATTGCTGTCACGGGCGGATGTGAGTTCTTTTCTCCTCTTTGTAATTGTTCTCTTCTTTGCTGATTTTCAATCAAGCTTTTTTTCTTTACTCATATTTCCTGGTGACAACAGACAATAAAGTGGGGGGGAAAACACACAGATATTTTAGCATTGCCAGTGAAACCTTTCCACTGTCTAGCGGGAACGAAGCTTCCTTTGTTGTCGTAGTGATTATAGGGTAGGGAAAAGCTGCAAAAAGAGGAGAAAAGGGAGAGAGAAGGGATCAAATGGAAAAATACTGTGAACACAAATGTGCTAGGAG